GGCAAATGATCTGAATAGACATTTCTCAAATGAAGATATACAAGTGGGCAACAAGTTTACAAAAAATACTCAACATCACTAATCATCAGGGAAATGCAATCAAAACTCCAATGAGATATCATCTCACCCTAGTTAAAACGGCTATTATCAAAAAGACAGAAAATAACAAATACTTGTGAGGATGCAGAGAAAGTGGAACACTTGCACACTGTTGGTGGGAATGTAAATTAGGACAGCCACTATGGAGAATAGTATGGAGGTTTCTCAAAAAAGTAAAAATAGCATATTATATGATACAGCAATCCTACCGCTAGGCATATACCCAAAAGAAAGGAAATAAGTATATTTAAGAGATATCTACCTTCCCATGTTTAATGCAGCATGATTTACAGCAGCCAGTATATTGAATTAACCTAAGTGTCCATCAATGGATGAACAGATAGAGAAAATGTGGATATATACGCAATGGAATATTATTCAACCATAAAAATAATGAAATCTTGTCATTTGCTGCAACTTGGATGGAACTTGAGGACATTATATTAAATGAAATATGCCAGGAAGAGAAAGATGAATATTGCATGTTCTCACTCATATGTGAGAGCTAAAAAATTGATCTCATGGAGGTAGTGCTTACCACAGAATAGTGCTTACCAGAAGTTGGGAAGGATAATGGGGAGGAGGGGATGAAGAGGTGTTAGTTAATAGATACAAAAATATGGTTAGATAGAACGAATAAGTTCTAATATTCAATAGTACAATAGAGTGAGTATAGTTAAAAATAATTTCTTATATGTTTCAAAATAGCTAGAAAAAAAGATTTGGACTGTTCCCAAAACAAAGAAACGATAAATGTTTGAGGTGATAAATATCAGAGTTCTCCAGATTCTGAAACTGCCTTTTACAAATTAATGAAAGGGTGCAAGGCAAGTTTAGGCCCATGGTAAGGGCCTAAACTCTGCAAAGGCCCAGGCATAATTAAAAATAATAATAACCAGCCATTGTCCCCTACTTAGCTTTCCTATAATTGCTACTCAAGGGTCACGTAGCTGATAGTCATAAAGATTCCTAACTTCTTCTGTAGATAGCATCACCCTTGTAAAAACCTAAGACTACTTTTTGAGATATCTTCCAGGCCCTGCATTCCAGTGGAGTGGCTGAGCCCCTCAGACAAGTGGCCTACAGCAAGAAACTGACTCAACTAGTCTTGTGACCCCCATCCAGGAACTGACTCAGCACAAGAAGATAATTTCTACACCCCTATGGCCCTACCTCAAACCCAGCCAATTAGCAGACTGAATTGCCTAGCCCTTTGCCCACGAAACTATCTTTAAACCCTTTTTCCCAAATTCTCAGAGAGCCAGATTTGAGAACTTCCTCCAGTCTCCTCACATGGAGCCAGCAATATTAAACTTTTTCTCTGCTATAACCCCCGCTGTCTCGGGTATTGGCTTCCTCTTGAGCAGGGGGCAATGAACCTGGTTGGGCTGTAACAATTCAATCATTATACTTGTATGCTTGTACCAAAATATCACATGTACCTCATAAATCTGTACAACTATTATATTAATATATCCATAGAAATTAAAAATAAAAAAAATAGTCAAGTGGCTTTTCCTAAAATTTCTGCTATAGAGATCTGTATAACAATATGTACCATCTTCTGCCTATTATGAAATTAATATGCAACCAAAAAACCTGCCTCTAAATGTGAGGCTTTTATGTTTTTATAAGGTATAAAAGAATCAAAATTACAGGAATATATGCTTGAAATATGAATAAATATATCATCTCATATTCTTCATATAAAGAGTAGAAGAAATAAATGGGTATGGGCAAATATTTCAGCACCCATGATCTATAAGGAGCTAAGATGAAGATCTGTAATATATCATCCCTGTTCACGATGATTTTACATTCTTAGAATATGAAAATGGAATAATTTACTATACTTCAGAATGATACTGAAACATACCACAACTTTAAACATGATTTATTAGATGAAACATGTAAGAATATTTTGTGGTAACAAAATAATTAGTTTGAGAACCTTTACCATAGAAATGGTTTGCATAAATGGATTAGTCATCTAAATTTTAGAAAAAAACTTACGAAAGAGAGAACTTATGAAAATTCCTTGGATGGGGCTGCTTCAGGTACTTGGTTCAGAAGCTTAAATGATGTCAGGGGGACTTACTGTTTAAGCTTTATGTCCTCTGGGTTGCTTCTATTCAAGCTTTTCAAGGTAGTTTAGGGCATCTTCAAGCTTATGTCACTACAACACTAAGTCCAGGTTAATCCCCATGTCCCCACCCCAGATTTAGGGGGTTCCATTCACTGCCTGGAAACTCTTGGTTCTGGACCAGTGTCTGCCCTGTCTGCCCCACCAGATCTGTGCTACTGCTCAGGCCTACAGGAATCACAGGATGGCCTTGGTGAGAGGACCGGGAGCAGATTTGAGTACTGGCTGGGGCGCTGGGCCAGGCTATGGGCATCGTTTGATCTCTAACTTTCGTTTAGACATATGGCATGTGTGCTTCCATTTGAATTCTTACCTTGAGTCCTTCAAATGTTGGGACAAGCCTAGTATAGGAAATGCTATGAATTTTTGCATTTAACCTGAAAGCAAAGGGAAGCCATTTAAAAGGGTTTAAGCAGGAGAGGGATGTGGGGCTGGAAAGGAACTTTCCTCCCATTCTCTGAAGTTTCCATAATGTGAGTCTCTGGAATAAATTGGCAGTAGACAGATTAACAGGATAAAGGCATACAAATTTATTATGTATACATGTGCATGGGAACCATGCAAAATATGAGATCAAAGAAGGACCAGATGCTGAAGTTTTTATGCCATACGGGAAAGGAATAGAGACTAGAGGGCTCTGGAGGGTGTTGGCCACAAGCTGTGGGAGGGTAAGGGGAGGAACTACACTGTGAACAAAGCCTGTCTTATTATGCAAAGTCTCCCAGGACTTCATCTCTTCTCCCTCAGAAGAATAAATGGTAGCCTGTGATAATCTCTGGGCGGGGTATTGATATCTTTCCTAGGTCCATCTTTAGGCTGATAGGGGGCCTCAGAGAAAGCTTCTAACATCTGCTGTTTACTTTACTAATGTAGATAGATGTAAATTTCTTTTACAAAAGGACAGCTTTTTAGATCTATTCTTATGTCTGCAATTTCTCTGTATAGCCATCTTGAAATATGCCAAAGAAGTATATTTTTGGAGTGGCATAATCTGCTGTACCACAGGGACAAGATTAGATTTAGATTTTGTTAAATAGCTTTACTATAGTATAATTGACACAGAATCGATTGCACATACTTAATGTGTACACTTGATAAATTTGGACACATCAGGGAAACCATTATCACAATCAAGAAAATGAAGAAAATGCAAAGAAAGAAATTTTTGCAAAACACATACCCAACAAGTGATTTTACCTAGGATATATAAAGGACTCTTATAATTCAATAGCAAGAAGACAACCCAGTTTAAGACGGGCAGAAGATTTGAATAGTCACTTCACTAACAAAGATGTACAAATGGCAGAGAAGCACATGAAAAGCTGCTCAACTTCATTAGTCACTAGGGAGATGCAAATTTGTATTCAAAAAGGTCCCTCAGGCTCCAGTATAGTGAAAGGCTTGGAGATCTAGAGTGGCTCTAGGACAAACAGGTAGGAGGTTACTGCCATAGAAATAGTAAAAGCCAGTAGTTGCCTGAATTAAGATGGTGGTTGTGGAGATGGGAGGAGAATGTCAAATTAGAGAAATATTCAAGAAGTAAAATAGATAGGCCATGACATTGAGTTTGATTTTAGCTGGGAAAGTATTAGAAATGATTTCTAAGACTTCTGGCTTGGGCAGTTGAGTACATAATGGTGCCATTCACAAATACAGTGAAAAATGGAAGGAGATCAGGCTTGGGAAAGACTATGTTAAACAAGCACCTTTGAGGCACCGACGTGGAATCATGACGCTGGCAGTCAGCAGGAGATGCTTTCTGAGCTTTGCGTGTTGGATTAGGTATGGACAGAAGCAGAAAGGCACTGGGCTGTGTTTAAATGGGAAGGGAGAGTGAAGAGCAGGAATTGCCAAGTCAGATTTCCCTGCTCTGTCCGCATGAGAGGCAGGGAAGCTGCTTTTCACTGGTGCTCTAAGCAGGAAGAACCTGGATGAAAGGGAATTTTAGAGACCTCCTTTAAATACTCTATTTAGAACCCTCACAGTATTTTGCCCTTCTGATTCCCAGAACTTCTCTAATTCCTGCCCTTCCCCCATTCCTAACTCCCAGCATGTACACGGATTGTATTTATGTAGATGTGGCCTCAGGAAGTAAAAAGGTCCTACAGTGCAGGTCATTTAAAATCTTACTAAATAATCTTCTGTCTAGTTTTTCCACATGGATTCTATAATCTGTTAAAGGAGGGGGAAAAAAGAGCATTCTTTTCTTTATTTTTGTACCTCATTAGTAAGTCCTAACCATACTCTCCCTTAGGCCCCTTTTCAACTCAGTCTGGTTCTCACATTCTTGGAAAGGACAATGGGATCTTTAAGTTCACTCAGTTTGTCTTGGGCAGGGGGCAAAATTATTTAGCCTCTGGTTGACACTCGGTCAGAGCAGCCTCCAAGCAGTACATCTAAGGAAGGCTTTGACACCTCCTCCCCTCCTCTTTTCCCAGTTTGGCATATTCTAGCCTGCGTTTTGCTCTCCTTGTAAATACGAGAGAAAATAAAACACACTGTTCAGTCTCCTTTGTCTGGAAAGCCTAGCATTTCAGTGGCTTTCTTTAAGGGGGTCCTCATTTGTAACCAGCTTTGCCATTAACGGAAATCAATCTGAATGTCCTATTATGCATCTTTTTTCTTTCCTCACAGTCTGAGATTGCCTTTGCCAAGTTTTTCTCGCTGAACCTGAAAGACCCTCTCTCATTTTTCCGTTCCCTGCCTGCAGCACCATTGAATCCCTGCAGAGCTTTCTCCGGCATAAAGGCTGTAGTGGGAGGATTGGGAGGAACCCGACCTACTCCGCTAACCCAGTGGCCTGAGCCAATCGCAAAGAGGATTGGAGTTTCCCCGGGAGCCCCCCTTCCCATGCCCTCAGTCTGACAGCCTCCTGGAAAGAGGGGCACTGGTGAGAGTGTGTTTACAATTCAAATCATTGGCTTTTTGCCCGCCCTCCTTCCAAATAAGAGGGCAGAAGCTGCTGCTGAGGTGCAAAGGGTCTTCTGAACTGCAGTGGCGCTGAGACCAGAAGATCCTCACTTCTGACTCTAACGAGGGGGAAAGGCAAGGATGGTGGAGGCTTTCTGTGCTACCTGGAAGCTGACGGACAGCCAGAACTTTGATGAGTACATGAAGGCTCTAGGTAGGTAACAGTATGACTCGCTGTTTCCTTCTTAACTTGCGCCTTCAGATACACGCAGATTCTCTTTTTCACCCATCAGGTCAGCAAGAGACAAAGACAGATCACATTGTCCTAACCAGATGCTAGGCTATGCATTTCCCAGTGAATGGATTTTTAACCTGGAATTTACCTGCTTTCTCGCCCAGGACCAAATAACAAGAGAATTTGATATTCTGTGGAGAATGTGAAACTTCTGTGACTTTTTTTTTTTCCTGCATTCACTTATTTGTGCTCAGTAGTTTTATTACATCATTAATGGGCTAAATCATGCTCTAATGTAACTTACACTTTAGAATGTAGATTCTAGGATCAGTAAGTAAGTAGATTCCTGCTTTGTGGGCTATTTTGGAAGTTGATGCTGACTGTACTGTTTCTCTTTGCTATGTTAGGTGTGGGCTTTGCCACCAGGCAGGTGGGAAATGTGACCAAGCCAACGGTGATTATCAGTCAGGAAGGAGACAAAGTGGTGATCAGGACTCAAAGCACGTTCAAGAACACAGAGATTAGTTTCCATCTGGGAGAAGAGTTTGATGAAACCACTGCAGATGACAGAAACTGTAAGGTGAGAAGGAAGCTGCTTCTTTTCAGGTGTGAAGTTGGAGAGAGAGGAATGAAAGATAAAGGTTTCCAGTAGATGTTGGGAAGTGGAGAATGTTTTCAGTATTTCAGTTCAGGGAGAAGGACACCAAAGTTAATTTAGCATTCTGGTGAGCATATGTTGTTATGTTCTGAACAATGGGCACTTTTGTATAGCTCAAATCTTGATTGTATTTGTTGCTTACCATACATTTTTTACATTTCGTATCAAACATATTTCAGAAACTATCTAATAGTGCTTGTTTAAAAGAAAGATTACACTTTGTTTAATCCCTCTGGTTATCTCAGATCAACTAAATAAACAATTTGCCTCATTCTTAAGCTCTATTCAAACCAGAAGTGTGACTAGTCAGAAAACACTAGTTTAAGATTTTTATTTATAATATATGAAGTTTTTGTATGTAGATGTACACATTTCAATCAAATTATGGATTACTAGAATTTACATAATAATAAATCTAGAAGTAACAGAGGATGTGGTACCAATAGGATAATTAGTTGATCACGACTGATTCAATTATACAACTCTGTCAAAAGTCATGTCATTTGTTTTCCATATCAGAAATCTGACTTGTACTCATTGCTATGTTCTGCATTTTGTTGTTGGTCTCACTCAGTCTGTTGTTAGCCTGGATGGAGACAAACTCATTCATGTACAGAAATGGGATGGCAAAGAAACAAATTTTGTAAGAGAAATTAAAGATGGCAAAATGGTTATGGTAAGTAATGACAGTTCTTGCTTTTTACCCTCTCCCCACCCTTCTCAAGTCCCTCCCTCTTGCTCCCTCCCTGCTCCTCCCCCTCTCCTTTCCTGCCCCTCTGCCTCTTCTCCTCCCTCCTCATCTCCCCCTTCCTCTCTCCCCCTCTTCCTTACAAACAATTTCTCTAATGATGGAGCAGTATCACAAACTGGGAGTATTATGCCTTGACCAAGCCTTCCTCAGACACTTTTTGTGTGGACTAATGATTTTTTGACAATACAAAGTCAAGTAGGCTCATTCATTTATGTGGGAGCAGATTGCTTTACATATTCTTTCTAAGATGACAACAGAAAAGATTTTGTTTTGTTGTTACTATTTAAGAAAATTGACTATTGTTCCCTTTTCCTCCCCTTGACTATTGCAGTCAGAGCTGTTCTAGATTGAGATATTCTCGCTTCTGTGGAAGTGAAGTGGGGAGCACAGAGACAGTTTTCCTTTCATGGTAAAGGATATTTGCCCACATTATTTTTCTTCAATAATCAACAAAAGAAAGAATTCATTTCTAACAGATTCAATCTGAAGTTTTCTTTCATGCTTTTACCTCCACTGTTTTTTCCTGCATACAGAAAAGCAGACAGCTCAACTGTGGCATGTACGGCTGTAATCAGGCCAGACTGAGTTCAAAAAGGAAGGTTGAAACAATGGATGGCAAGGATACAGGATGCTCTTGAAAATCACAGCAATATATAAAAATAATGACCACCAAAATCCTCTAAACTTTGTAAAGTGGTTTTATAGCAAGTCTTCAAGTTGGACTTGACATTGAAGTAATAGAGCCAGCGTTCCTCATTAGACTCACCTAACCACTGGGTTCACACATGCTAAAACATGACAGCCAAAGCAAGGAGAACATTTGTACATTTACATTTTCCTGTTGATTTTGGAACAAGTCATTCCAAATGCCATTGGCTCAAAAGACGTGGTTTTCTAAAGACTACTCAAAATTTATCTAGATTATGAAGTGAAAACTGTTATTTTGAAAGCCTATTATAAATCTCATTCACTTTCAAAGCAGATAGCTGAGACAACAATGTAGACAATTCATTCCTCACCCCAATTTGCTCAATTATCCAGATAATTTAAGACTAAAGAAATTCTTTTGACCTCAGTCTAAATTGTTAATTTCAGCTTGCACTTCTCATTTTAGAGACATGAACTATGTATACATATTATTCACTGAAAAAATATGTGGTTTTTTTTGTTTAAGAAATGAAGAGCTTATGCAGTGTTTAATGTCTATAAAATTATTTTGCATAATATTTAGATCATATACGAGATAATCTTTAAAATCCAGCTACTGATGTTCCTGTGTAAAAAGATTTGATTATCTTTTGAATCTTTCAGACTCTTACTTTTGGTGATGTGGTTGCTGTTCGCCACTATGAGAAGGCATAGAAAAGTTCCTGGTCTGGGGCTGGAGAAGCTCTTCAATTTTTTCTGTTTACTAAAGTCTCAGTGCTATCCTGCTATTACAGCACAGCTGATCACTAATTAGAAGGTTATCCTTGGTGTGGAGGTGGAAATGGTGATTTAAAAACTTGTTACTTCAACTAACTAGCCCAATTTTAATCTCCAAATTTATCATGTTTTATAATTCACGTTAAAAATTTATCAATTTTTTATAAAGAATGTACATTTTATAATTTCCTTTGGAATGCAAGTCAAATTGGAATAAAAATTTTACATGTGAAATTTTGTCATTGTTTTTAATATCATTAATCTGGCTAGGAATCGTATATTAGAGAATTGTAAATGAAATAGCCATTCTTATGGCATAAAGTAGGGCTAAAAAAGTTAGTTGTTTAAAATACTAATTTACAAAAAAAGAAAAAAAGCAAAAACCTTATGACATGTAGAAATGCCACAGTTTTGGTTGAGACTTCCATGGAGAATCTGTAATGATTAAATTCACTTGGCCAAGACTCAAAGAAGCCTTATTATAGTGGGTTGGGCTACAGAAATGATGTTTTTATTAGAAACAGATATTCTGATAAAGCAAAATGATGTACATCAAAATGTTTTATTAAAAGGTAAATATATAATCATAATATTATATAATCAAAGTTTCTTATTGAAGAAAGGCAAATCGGAAAAGGAAATGAGTTTCGTCCTGAATTATAAAGATGTTTCTCCAAACAACTAAATTGAGTTGGACTAAGTCAACAGGAGTGCAAAATGGAATACTGTGCACAAAAGCACTCAAATTCCTTTTTTGGCAGGGGAAGGAGGAGGTGACTGAGTCAACCAAACCAAAGCAGATATCTCTCTGTAACTGGCTAGGATTTGCACTTGTGATGTATAAACAAACAAATATTATTTTGTATTTCATTATTTACAAGACGATTTTTATACATTTTCTCAACTTCACAATGAGAAGCAAGAAGGAAGGTATTAGTTTTTATTTTGAGGAAAGACAGGTGTTATTGTTTTTCCAATGAGGAAATTGAAGATTAAATTCACGTGTCTAAGTTCTCATGACTACTAAATAAAACTGAGAACTGCAATCTTTGCAATTTTTCCCCTTATTTCCTCTCCAAAAGTAATATTTCAGCTTTTTCTTGAAATAAAAATGCAAAATTTTATTTTCACTGATCATTCCTTAGGAAATCTTTTTTTCTGTTAGCCTTGGTGCTAGGGGGTACATAATGTTGTATTCATTTTTAATTTGTCTAGTGATTTCAGTAAGTTTTTATAAGTAATTTAAGGTCCAATTAACTTATAGCTGTAAGTATGAGGGAAATTCCTTTTTATTTTTATTTTTTAAGAGATGGGCTCTTGCTATGTTGCCCAGGCTGGTCTGGAACTCCTGAGGTCAAGACTCCCAAGTAGTGAATAGCTAGGACTACTGGCCCACCACCATATGTGGCTTACCTCTGTCATTAACAGCATGAAGCAGAACATTGAGAGAGTATTGGCTCCAACTGTTTTGACAGTCATCATCTCTGCTTCTGGTGGAGGGTTGCTTAACCCTTAGTGATTTCAGCCTATGCTCTAGTATAAGCACAGATTATGGCTTTCTTATTATTAAAGATACAAGGCCAAGGATGGGGATTTATTTTCAGCTCATTATAATGAGGCCAAATAACATTCTGTTGGCATTAATTTCCATAACAACTGTCTCACAGAGTAAAGGATGGAAAGGTTCTGGTTGGCCTAAATGACAAACAAAAATACAATGGGCTACAAGACCAACAGTTGGGGTGGTAGACCAAATGCAGTTTTCCAGGAAGAAAATGAACAGATTCTTGCTTCCTAAAACCAAATTCTATCTCACACAGTAATCTTTCAATATACTAACTTTCCTGGTTTGCCTTTTTTTTTTTTTTTTTTTTTAAACATAGTTAAAGGTAAGGAAAAAATTTCCAAGACCAAAGGCAATTTTACTAACAGGCCCAAGAAGAACATGTCTTGAATTCCAAGACCTCAACGATACAAACTAGACTAAGGCTGTTTTGTTCTGTCCTTATCTTACATGTGTTTTCCCTCACCCAGATATGCACACTCCCAATGATACATACATACACCTGGAGTATAGACATCTACAAATGTATGCTCAGGGTTGAGGTATACCAACAGAGATGTAGGGGCACTGTAGTTTTGTGACTCTTAAAGAGAGGGTATAAAGAAAAATCAAAGAAAGCAGAGTGAGTAGAAAGGAAGATGGGCACCCACTAATTTTAATATACTCTATTTTAATATACTGTTTTAGGATTGCAAACATTTCTTAAGTTTCCAAATGTGTATACCTCATTTTATGATTACTTACTGAAAAGCTATTTCACCAATTTACTTCCAGTAAAGAGTACTGAAACTGAAAAAAAAAGAAGAGTGAACATAGCTATTTCTACAATTTATCCTTTTCCTATTTTTAAAATGTTTGGACTAGAAAGTCATATGTTATTTTGCTACCCTTAAAGTTGTTCTTTCTCACTAGCTCACCGTTTTTCTTCCTGCTTCATTTTCTCCCATACTCTGGAAATTGTGGACTGAGAAACTCCAAGGACCATTTCGTCCACCATTGGAATGCACTTTGGTTCTTGAAAGGCTTTTGAATCATCCCAAAGCTGAGGCAAGACTTGGACAGCCCTGGCAGGACTTGAAACAGAGGCGCCTTGATTGTCATTTCAAAGCCCCTTTTATGAGACACACTCCCATTAAATTACACGGATACAAAAAAAGGTTGTCTGATGGGGAACAAATACACTCTACAACATCTTTTATGAAGTTAGTAATTCTGGAAGACACTTTCTTCTCCAAAGGAATTCCACACCTTATGAATTTAAATTCTTAGCTGTGTTATCTTAAAGAGGTCTGCATTCTCATAAATGTAAAGAGGAGAAACACAGAGCATAGGACCCAATGCACTCTGGGGATTTGGGCTTCTTTGCCAGACTAAGTAGCTTCAAATATTCCTTGGAAGAGTAAAATCAACTGCCTCTATGATTTCCATGCATCTCTAGAATGCATAGAGCATGATTCTGAGGCATATTCTATAAAAAACAAAAAACAACACCTGTTGTCTTTGAGCAGTGGTTCTCAAACATCACCATCAAGGCTTGTGAAAACACAAATTGCTGAAATTGCTGAAATTGCTGAAATTGCTGGGATACGTCTGGGTTGGGGCCTGGAAATGTGCACTTCAGAGTTCCCAGGTGGTGCTGATGCTGCTCGCCCAGAGACTGCCACTGGAGATCCACTGCGCTATCAAAAACTTCTGCTGGTCTTGTCCAAATCATGATACTTCAGGGCTTTCTGCATCACATCTTGCTGAGGAGCCCTATCCATTTAGGGCCTGGTGGTGTTTAAGGAAGATGATCTGCGTGGGTTTGGATGAAGAACATTCCTTCCCAGGCCAGTCACTGACGCTTAGAAACGAGAGTGCTAATAGCTATGCAAGGACTGAAGGTCAGGCTAACCGACCGGCGGCGGAACCTGCCCTTGCACGTGATAGGCTGGGCGTCTACACCGCAGCGTTCTTCTACCTCCTCCCCACTCCGGGCCTCACGGTCTGAGTGGAACCGCGGGACAGCCCGAGCCTCCCGGCTCCGTGCCACGGCCAGCCATGGCGCTGCTGGCCGCTCTCGTCTGCTGTCTGCTGGCCGCCTGGTACGGCCGCCCGGGCCTCGGGCTGCCCCTGGCGCCAGCTGGCGGCCGGCGGCCGGCGGTTGGTGAGTCGTCCGCGACCCTCCTCCTCCCAGGAGCTGCCGGGAGCGCTGGGCGGAAGCGCCCGAGCAAAGTCGGGGAAAGTACGGGGGCAGCTGCGCGCCCGGCCGAGGCTTGGCCAGCCGGGCCCCCGACGCGGCGGGCGTGGGCTGACGCTGCGGGGCGCAGGGAGGGCAAGGGCGACGGCGACCGAGGGAGCGGAGAGCGAGGTCGTCGCGCCGGGAGATTGGGGCTGGGCTGGGGGAATGCCCGCGCCTGTGGGGGCGCTCCAAGGGCGGGATTCCGCCAGCAGGGCATTTGTTTACATCCTGCGTCCTCCTTGCTTTGGTCTGTGGGGAAGGAAGGAAATGCTGCACGTCTCACGGAAAAAGGAAGCTGGGAGTCGGGTGTCTCCCACCTGCCCCGAATCTGCCCAGAGCGGAGCGGGACGGCGGAGTTTCCCTTTCACCTCAGGGGTGTAAATTTCAGTCGCACTCAGAGTATCTTCTGTCCTGCCCACGGAGTGGCTTTTTATGCCGCTCCCCAATCAGAGCGACTCAACACTCAACCCAGTGCCAGTTAAAGTGGTAGTTCACTAAGCGTGGGCTGCGACCCGCAGCTCAGCTGCACCTAACTTGTTAGAATTGCAAATTTTCAGCCTCACCCTAGACTTACAGAATCCAAAACTCTGAAGGTGGGGCCCGACAATGCGCTGTTTAGCAGACTCTCCAGGTGATTCTGATAGACGCTAAAGTTTGAGAATCACTGGTCCAGAATAGATAAATGTTTGATGAGAGATTATACGATGCCATCTGAACGTTCGGTTTTAAAAATCAAGATGCCCCCACCTCCCGACTCCCTTTAAAAATAATTGCTCTGTTAGAGGAAAAATAAAATTAGAGAAGTGGAGAGCTGTCCCTGAGAGTCAGTAATACGTTTAGCGCTGAAACTTCTCTTTTTCTTTGTCTCTGCTCTCTCTCAGGACTTTGGGAATGCTCTAGGAAAATGGTCTTCTCTTTGTTGGAAAGCCAAGTCCTCGTGACTCAGCTGTCAGGCAATCTGAAACAGGAACTGTGAATCTGGTTTCCCAACTGTGGCAAATGTCAGTCATAACAAGATATTGCTACAAAATGTTTATGTATGCTGGTTTCTGCGTTTATTTAAGCTGGAGTTGTTTTACTTTAATTCCATGACTTTTGAGGATTTTGAGATTAAATGTCTCAGGTTGCATCAGGCCAATCAATGGCAACTTCCCCTTTCGGTTTTAAGGATCTGACAGCTTAAGGACTCAGTGAACACTTTTCTTGGGACAGCTACAAGGTTGAATGACCTACTATTGAAGAGGAAGGGAGGAGGGTAACTGGAGTTCAAAGGCCTGAAGTGAAGCTCAGTTTCCCAATTCACATTGCATATCCTATTTTACATGTTTTCCACTTGATGTGGCCATTCCTTCCTCCTCCTCCCAGCCCCAAATGCTTGGACTTCCTTTTCAGCATCCGGCATGCCTGGCCTCTGCTTGCTTGTTTTGTGTTTGTGTGTTTAAATTTCTAGCCTCAGCTTTCTGCCCTGTCAAGTCCCTATAGTCAAACACCTATTTAAACAACAACCATATGTCCAAACATATGAACTATGATTCATGGGTCCTTTAGGATAAATTATAACATTTTCTTTGACTTAAATATTTTCTGCTATAATTTTGAGCATTTACCTAGATGCATTGAACACACACACACACACACACACACACACACACACAGACATTTTTGGAAATCTTTTTAAAGATGATCTGCAGAACAAGAAAGTAATTAGATATAGTGGAAAGAACTTTGGGCTCTGAACCAGGGAACCTACATTGGAATGTGGGCTCTGCCACAGGCCAGGGCAGTGGCCTTGGAAACACATACAGACATACATGCACACACACATGCACATAACATTTTGTATACAATTCCATTAGGGGTGGGAAGTGAGACCTTCTGAGGTTCATTATGCATAAATCCCAGGTTAAGAACCTATCAGAGCTCTGTTCTTGACTTCTGTTTAAAGATATCTCTCAGTGAGTCTAAGTAATTGCCCCCTCGTTTCTCTGTCAATGCCAAGTAGTAGGAAGAGCATTAGGCAGGAGAGACTGGTTCCAGGTGAGCTTTCATTACTGAGTCGCCATGTGATCTTGAGGAAATCTTGAAACCTGTCTTTGCCTAAATGTCATCATATATAAATAAAGAATATTTGTTGAGGGCCTGCTGCAGGTGAGGCATATTCTAGATGCTGGAGATATATAAATCCAGGTACTAGATTACATCAGAGGGATGTGCCCTTAATACATTTTAAGTTTTGGTTTATAAAAATTGATTATGTTTATAATCTCACTTTTCTTAATCTTCACAGTATCTCATAAGTAGATGCTGTCATTATCTATTTTCATGTGAGGCAAGTGAGACTGAGGACATTTGAATGTGAGCACACACACACAGGCAGTGGGTGCCATTAAGGCCAACGTAGACACTGGAGTCAGACATCCTGGATTCATATTTTAGATCTGTTGAGGATGATATATGTAACTTGAACATAATCTCTGTGCATTTCAGTTTCTTATCTGTAAAATGGAAATAATAATGAGTTAATACATGTAAAGCATAAAAAACAGTACTAAACATAAGTGCTCAGTGAATTTTAAGTATTACTTGGAAATGGGGAATTTGAAATTCAACGTTTGCAGTTACAAAATAATAACAGGAAAATTAACATAGAGCTTACTTGATGTCTTATACTTTCTAAGGACTTTACTTCTACTAAGTCACTTAAACCTTACATTAGGTACTATTATTATTCCCATTTTGCAGATGAAACAGGTCAAGATCACACAGCTAGATTAGTAGGTGGCACAGCTTGGATTGGAAGTCAGACAGCTTGACTCTCCACTCTTAATCACAACACTATACTTGTTAAGGAACCCATGAAGGTTTTTTTTTCCCCCTAGACTTAGTTGCTTGCCACACAGAAAGCAAATTACTGAGACAAGGAGGATTGTCAAGGAAGAAAGGAAATTTATTGCAGAGGACATCAACAGGGAGGTGGGAGGACTGCCTCAATACCCCTTTCTGACTGATAGGATCAGGGTTTTACCTAGAGGGGAAATGAATAATGCAAATAATGCATGAAGTGAGTCAGCATCATTACATGTTTGGGGTGGGGTGCAGGGCACGCAAGCACAGTGAGAAATCATACTGGCACATACATTACATGATCAAAAAATGGCGGGTAAGCCTCTGTAGGGTGGAGATTTTAGCAGTGTAATGAGCTAGTGGGTAATATTGGTCATTCTTTCAGTCTTGTGTGCATGCAGGTAGTGGGGAATAGGTTCATCGTGGAGTGCTGCTTGACTTCTCTGAACTATCGGGTATTGTAAGGCCTTGTAATTATCTCCTTACTATTTCTGAAAAACAACTCAAAAGGGAGAGGATCAATGAAAGAGAAAATTACCAAGTTCTGGTCAGCAAATCTTACCAGCCTGGGAACTTGAAACATAAGAAAACTGCAAAAAGGCATTTTTGTTCGTAGAGCTGGTTACATACTGCCATGTGTAATTTACTATACCTTAATATTCTACAAATAATAAAAATACTTGTTTACATTAAAATGATTTGCATTATCTACTTATACCCCAAGGAAAGGCATCTTTTAGGGTTATTCTGAGCTATTGGCCATCTCTACTTCGTGTGCTGGATAAATTGTATCTAAGCTGACAATAAAGGTTGGGTTATTTCCTGCATTATGGGATAAAATAAACCAAATTACTCTTGCAGATGTTTTCAAATGGTAACTAAGTGCTGAGTCATTATCCATAAAGACTATTTTAAGTCTACTTCCTTTTGAATCTTTTGTCTACCACTTTTTATTTGTGAACTTAAATATGTTATAAAATTATTACAACAACGATGTTGGGAAGAAACAATCAAAAGATAACTCACCATTTCCACCTTAACAAATTAATTGTTTTCACTTTATTATCCCAGCTTTGGGTTTTATTCAAGTTTTATCATCTTTGTATAGATAAAAGTTTGCATTCTCCTTATTTGCTCTTTGCTTCTGGTACATTATATGCTACTTTGCCACTTCTGATGTGTTTGTGATGTAAATTAGTCATAATCAGAATTCATAAACTCAAAGTGTGAAAAAAACTCAATATTAAAACAATTTGAAAATTGTTTATGATAAGGCAGCAAAATCATTTTATATATATGGAAATTATATATAATCAAACTTGGGGGCCCTTCAAAACGAGGGTTTCGAGTTTGACTCTGTCATTTATTAGCTGTGTATACTTGAGCAAATGTCCTAATTGATCTAGCATTAGTTTCTCAGCTTCTAAAATGAGAATCATGATTCCTACTTCAGAGAGTAGTTTTGAGAATGAAATGACATAATACATTTAAATTGCTTATCACAGTGCCTGGCACATGGTAAATGCTTAATATAGAGAGATACTACTATGATTATTTGTTCTACTATTACCTTCAATGAAAGAATCTTCCTTAAGATGATTTCTGAGCTGTTATGGTATTAAATGGGTTTGGCTTCTCCCTGAAAACCCAATGGAAGCATCCTTCTTAATGACTGCTTCCCTTAATAGTATTAACGTTTTATACAAGTGTACGACAGAAAATGTACTTCTACTAAATAACTTGTAAGAACCACTGGGAATTCCTATTTTTGGCTTAAAGCTAGTATTAAAGATTTATGTTCTTTCAATTTATGTTGAGAGGCAAGGTTATACAAGAAATTGAGTGATATATAGTTCCTTGTTCTGCAATCTACTCACCATGCAATCCTAACAAACTGCATATTTCTATGCCGACTTTCTACAAAAAGAATGTAAATAATTTCCAAAACCTTAAATTCTACCAAGAGACAGGCTATAAGACACAAGATGATATTATCACTGACCTCCTGGAATAATATCTCCATATATTTTACTATGCAAACTTCTCCTTGTTATTTAGTCTTTCTTAGGTAGTCAATATTAACTGAGCTCATCAGTTTTGACACACGTAAGTGGTAAATTCTTCCTATGTTCTTTGAATCCTCATCTCCACACAGGAAAGGGTTGTATTTAACTTCGGACATATGAACATTTAAATTACTAAGCCTCCATCATAGGGAGGAACAACTGTCTCTAGTCTCACTGTATATATTCGTATGAGAATTCCAATATCAAAAAAGTAGATTTATCAGTATTTTTTTTCTAATCAACAGGACAATTTTGGCATGTGACAGACTTACACTTAGACCCTACTTACCACATCACAGATGACCACACAAAAGTATGTTCTTCATCCAAAGGCGCAAATGCCTCCAATCCTGGTCCTTTTGGAGATGTTCTGTGTGATTCTCCATATCAACTTATTTTGTCGGTATTTGATTTTATTAAAAATTCAGGACAAGAAGCATCTTTCATGATATGGACAGGGTAAGTGATTATAGAAACACTATGAATTACTCAGTATTTATCCACAGTATCCTCAGTTTCGTTAGAATGGTAAATTCCATACAAAGATGAATTATGTCATAAGAATTATTTGGTTTAAAAAATACTAGGTCAAATTAAACAACATTATTAGAGATAAGAACAATTTTAGAAGTCACAATATATTCTTTTTGGATAGACATTTTTTAGTGTTAGGTATTTTTTAGTGTTAACAAAGAGACAAATTCATAAACAGCAGACTTGTATCAGTGTCTTGAGGTATTGATTCATGTGATAATATGTCTTGATTAAATAATCAAAGGCAAAAGACAACAGTGGGAATTAACCAGTAATGGCAATTTTGTAAAGCATTATCTTCAAGTGGTATAACTAACTAGTTCCACATCACAGTAAAGAGGTCTGTATTTCTTGTACCTGGAATAATGGCCATGGCTAATACTTGTAGAGTGTTTACTTTGTACTAAGCACTGTTTTAATTAATCTATACATGGTAATTTATTTAATCTTTACAATAGATATTATTATTATTCCCATTTTACAGATGGGGAAATAAAGGCACTGAGAATCTAACTTACGCAAGTGTACACAACTAGTAATTGGCAAAACTGGGATTTGAATCCAGTCATTTTGGCTCTAGAATCTTTGCTTTTAATTGCTGTAGTTTTCTATCTCTCATAAATCTTCAATCTGGCAGTGAAAGAGACTAGGACTTTAGGATTTCTGGTGTGTTTTTTGTATTACATTTTTGTTAATTTTCTATTTTATAGAATAGAAAGTTCTATTCTATAGCCAGGCATCATTCATAAGTCTAGTGGTGCTTTATGAAAACTGATTTGTTCTTTATGATTCTGTCTTTTTTTCAGGGATAGCCCACCTCATGTTCCAGTAACTGAACTCTCGACAGAAACTGTTATAAATGTGATCACTAATATGACAACCACCATTCAGAGGCTCTTTCCAAATCTCCAGGTTTTCCCTGCACTGGGTAATCATGACTATTGGCCACAGGTAAATTTGACATCAGCTTCCAGAAGTGCTTAGAGGATTTTTCCTAGCAGTAGTGTCAAGATTATGACAATGACAAGTCAGTAATAGGGTATGGGACTGGGTCATGGACATAGAGTGGGCTCTTAATGCTAACCATCCACCAAGGCAAAGACAAGTGCTTTGGGGACTTTAAAAGGATTCCTTTGATAATTCATAAAGAGTTGTGTCAATAGTGAGTTTTCAGAAGCAAATTACCCAGTTTGTGGTTATTAATTCCCATTTACCTTCATGATCTTTTTCAGTTTCTCCTTTCTTTTGAATAATGTTCTTGTTCATTTGTATTTCCATGACAGGGTTAGCAAGGACAAATATTTACATTTTCCGTAATTTCTATTATGTATACAAAGATCTGCATATTCTGATATAAGTTAGATGGTGATTAAAAACAAAAACATAACAAATTACCATAAGAACCAACAAGGGAGGTCCATGTTCAAGTCCTGTTTATCTAATTAAGATGTGATTCAAGGCAGAGTCTGTTTAGAACATTTTTGACTGATGTAGGCCTGGCTCCAACCAGAGTGGTTATTTGATGAACAACCTATGCATAAAAGCTGGATACCAGTTCTGGTTACAGGTTCCTGTTATAGTATAGAATCTTAGATTTGTATAAATTCAAGAGATTCCAGAGATTGTTGTTTAGTCCAGGGCTTGGCAAACTGTTGCCTATGATCCACATTCAGCCTGCTGCCTGTTTTTGTAAATAAAGTTTTATTGGAGCACAGCTAGGTTTCCATTCATTCTGTAGTGGCTGCTCTTGTGTTATAATGGCAGAGTAGAGTAGTTGCAGTGGAAACCATATGGCCTATAAGCCTAAAATATGTATTATCTTACCCTTTATAGGAAGAGTTTGCTGACCACTGGTCTGCATCAACCCTTCATTTTATAGATGAGAAAACTGAGGCCCAGTAAGGTTAAGTGCTTGTCTAAGTGTTCACAAGCCCTTAGTGGCATTGCCTACATTCCAGATCTTTTCACCCCAGACCTGTGTTAAGTTAGACCAGCATACTTTCATACATTCCTTGTTCTTGCCTAACATACAAAATATTTCCCAAACATGATAATTGCTTTCATGCCTCTCTTTGTCCACATTTTTCTCTTTGCTTAGGATATCTTTTCCATCTCACGTCAAATGGATGATCAGTGGGGGTTTTGAGGTTTTGATTATTTTTGCTATTCTAACCTGAATATAGAGATTATGGAAAGTTGTACTCTAGGACAAACTTCAGTTTCAAGTGACTTCTTGGCCCTGGCCTGCCTTCTTGGAATGGGTGATAGTTGAGTCTTTGTGAGTCAGCCTCCCAAACAGTGGGCAACTTTTATTCCTGTTGAGATGTTAGACCACACAGTGCAGAGCTTGGGGACAAATGAGCTCCAGGAACCTGAGGTCACACACATTGTTTTTATGTGCCTTACATGACAGGCAGACTGGGCTAGTGGAAAATATGTGGGGTTTAGAGTCGTTAGAATATACATTTCTAACCTATCCTGTTTCTAATACGTTCACCAACTTGGGTGATTCACTTATTATCTGTGATCCGTAGATCACTCATTTGTAAATAGGAGCAATAATACCTACCTTGCAAAGTTTTTGTGAGAATTAGTGATAAGATATGAAAAGGGTATAACTTACTACCTGGCAGATAATAAGCCCTCAGTACATGGGTCAGTGCGTTACTGTAGCTTCAAGTAGTGACATGGGATAATCTTCCTGACTCCTTTGAAGATTTGTTTCATTTTACCTTTTTCTTCTTTTTGTCAAGTCAAATCTTATATTCAAACATATAGATACTATCTAACTTCGATAATATATCCCATTGTATATACAACCAGGGTAAATTGGGCAGCCTGTATATCTTTAAACTGTTAATTTTTTTCTCTTTCTACCTTATGACTTTATGTCAGAAAATCTTCTTTCTATTATTTTACTACCATCCTTCCACCTCACAGTTTCAGAAATGTCAAATGTAACATGAAAGCTCCATAATAAATTCTCCTAGAGACTAATATGTAACTTTGAAGAACATTAGGAACAAATATTAATACATTTGATAAGTGCTATTTTTCCCTTAAAACCCCATGTACATACACCATATATATACAGACGCGTGTCCCCACCCATTATATCAGAAGTAGGTATTAGTGTGGGCAGCCCAGGTATCCCTTCCCGTTGTCACTCACGGAAGCAGTCTGGGCCAGGGTCCCCATTTACTCCCACACTGGCCAGACTGGTGCCACCAAACTTATGGGTGCGTCGCTTCCCATTAGACCTCATTTCTCAACAGTAGCCATGTCATAGCCAAGAAGGAATGAGAAGGAAACACGGTGCAACAGACAGTTGGACATGAGAGTGATCGTGGATCAGATCCATTTCGGATGCCGACCAGCTATGCCTGAATAAACCACTTAACTTCTCTGGTGTTCATATTTTTCATATTTAAAATAGAGAGGAAAATCTAGAGTAAGTTTTATGTAATTTTAAGATTTTATATCCTCATACTATACTTTGGCATCCATCCCAAAGTAAACAAGTGGCCAAGACTTTGTGGCTTTTCATTATATGATGATGACGGTGATCATGATGATGATGATGACGATGCTTACCAGTTTTTAATCAGAATAGAGATTGACTAAGCTGTTGTATAATTCTCAGACAGGTAACTTTGATCTCTGACATAAACTGTAAATATATTTTGGGCAATTAATTCCAACTAAAACAAGTCATTTGGTTATTACTTGTCCCGAATGTATCCATATTTTCATCATGTTTTGGGCACATGTCATAAGAACTAATGTGACTTGGGCATAATCTTGAAAAATAACTAAGTGTTTTGATTAATACTGTAAGGGAAATGCCTCTCAGAAATAGGTATATCTCACCAATATACACAAGGAAATGAGGAAAGTGAAGATGGGGGCTTCAGTTTTTAAATATAATTCTTTTAAAAATAGAAATAAACATCCAATTTCACAAACAATTTCTGGATTTTTATTTAGTATTTACTTTCTTAAAGTTTTGTTTATTTTTTTCTCTAGAGCTTAGAGTCACCTTAAAGGTACTTTATGATAATAAAAGTAACGTTTTATACTTATATTATTAAAAAAATCAAAACATATTGCTTTAGGCTGCCATAAAGAGACTTCTCCAAATCAAAAGCACATGGTTATAAATCTCTATTCAAGGAGTTAAGAAACTTCATAATAGCTTTAACATTTCAGAGGACTTTGCTAAATTCTAAAATTATCATTTTTCCCCATTCCTTGGGCATGCTCCATCAGGCCCTGTAATTCAGGCTCAAGCCTGCCTTCAGCGTCTCTTTAATGAGCACACTCCTGGCATACCCTGGCCATGCTACAGCACGAGCTTTTCTCTGTATTTAGGACTGCATGGCTCTGTGTCTGTGTTTGTGTCTGGGCCATTGCTTCTGTTTGGATGCCCTTTCTTATTAAATTGATAAAATCCTTGTTCAAGGCCTGGTTCAAATGTTCTCTTCACCTTTTACCCTGACTCCCTGGGCCATACTTGATTGTTCTTGCTTCTGCACCTCCAGGATCTCTGTGGTAGCATCCAGCACATTGTCTAATAGTTCGCTGATTACATTTTGTCCCCCTCTCCCCAACTAAGTTATAAATTCCTTGAAGACTAAGTCTATCCAGTATTCATCCTTGCATCTCCAAATGCCTAACATAGCAGTCAGCATTCAAGTAATGTCTAAGTTAATTAATCCATATATCTTTAAAGTTTCAATGGTGGATTTTATTGTTTGTGGCCAGGATCAACTGCCTGTAGTCTCCAGTAAAGTGTACAATGCGGTAGCAAACCTCTGGAAACCATGGCTAGATGAAGAAGCTGTTCATACTTTAAGGGGAGGTAAGCAAGAGACTCACTTATCCTTCTTTTGCTTCCATTTTTATTCATATTGATTAAAGACTTAAATCTTTAATGTTTGCTTGGGTGTGCCAATTCTGGAGTGTCTCTGTATCCAGTGTTTCTGGAGGACAGTGAGTAGTGACATTGCCTGTGACAGATGCTGCCAACCTGTTTGTCTTGTGGGATGCTCTTCCCTCCCTTTACTCCCAGTCAGGTAGGTGTGTCCTACATGAAGCAAAAGCTGAACTTTGGATTTGAATGTAAAGGAAAGTATATGTTTCTAATTGGAAAATTGATTGAGAAGAGAGAATGGACACTGACATTTAAATAAGCAGCACAATTGTATAAAACAAATAACTGGTAAAGTGAAGATAAGTAAGCTTTTAACATAGACTTTGAGGTGTGTGGAAAAGTAATGCATAATTATTGCACAGTAAAGCCTTCCCTAGGTCGTTTCTAAATGTTCCCTGCTCCAGGGGCTCTCAACGCATCATTACGTAAATCCCTGACATTTTGTGAGCTTCACTCAGGTGCCCAGTGGTTAAACTAAGACCTTGGCGATTTAAAATTTTGAGAGAAATATTAAGTTAATGGCTAGACTTCTGTCAGTTGAAAGTTTTTCTTTCACTGTTTTTCTTAAACTTTTGGCTTTGCCACTATTCTGTTGTTGTTTTTGTTAACACTTGGCAAATCACGGTATATATGAATTTGAGACCTGCTGTCTTAGAATTAGGCCATAATCCTGATTAATCTAGGGAACTGTATCTAGCCCTATTCCCTCAAACCTGCAGGGTACACGGAGCGCTTTTGCAAGTAGAAGGGAGAGCCACAAAGAATGATCAAGATTCCTGAAGAGACACTCTGGATTCTTAGGAGGCTCAGCTTAAAGCAGACAGGGGCAGGCAGAGAAAAGATGACACGTGGAATGCTGGCCCTAAGGAAGAGCCATGTGAGCGTCACACTGGTATCCATTCCAATGATATCTGTCAAATCTCCGGTTAAACACTGGAGTATCATATTAAAGTTGAAAGTCATAAAAAACTTTCTGTGAAAATCTTAAACGCAGAAGTGATTTGGAGCAGGGATGCTCTGCATGAAGGGCCTCAACTTTTGTCATCCCAGAGTCCCTATTGTTATCTTCTACTAGTAGGGCCTAAAGGGCAGCTTTTCAAAAATAACTTCCAACAAATTCAAACCTATCTGCCTTGCCACTATTACAGTAAAAATCATAAGGTGTTATGACTACAGGGAAAAACAAAGGAGATTAAAGAGTCAGTTATCAGCCATGACTGAAAGATAAGGAAAGGCATGGGTGCTGAGTGGGCCCAGGACAAAGAAAGCTGGGCAAAGATCCCAATGACCAGCTCCCAATGTCACTGCGGCAGACGCTCGGGTGTTCTGTCACCACTGGTTCAGAGGCAGGACTGGGGTGATGCCTCCAAGCGCCTTCTTCCCTGGGATTGTAACAGCTCTGGCTTAGCTGATCTTTTTTTGCCTTCAGTGGTCTCCAGCAAGATCCATGTGTGTTGCCATTCTTTGGATTTTCTATTTCACAATCTCTCCCATCTTAACTTGACAGCCATATAAAAGTAGGGATCGATGTATAAATCTTTCTTTTATAAAAATCAGTCTCGTTGCTTACTGCCCAAACACTTAGTTATCTTTTCACCTGAATATTGGATCCAGCTATTTTTACCTCAATATGTGAAAGTGCCAGCATTGGCCCTGGCACATAGGTTTTCAGTTAGTGTTTAGTGTATCTGATCCTTAGCTAATGACAGCCTATGTATATGCAGACTAAACAGTGAGAAATGAGTATGAGCTTCCCAACTGGACTGTAAGCCTTAAGAGCTTGCTTTCACAATGTCTGAATATGAGTATGTGTGTGTTTCAAATTGTTTTTACAGGTGGCTTTTATTCACAGAAAGTTAGAACTAATCCGAACCTTAGGATTATCAGTCTAAACACGAACTTGTACTATGGCCCAAATGTCGTGACCCTGAACAAGACTGACCCAGCAAATCAGTTTGAATGGCTGGAAAGTACACTGAACAGCTCTCAGCAAAATAAAGAGCAGGTATGTCCCACAGACCAAAATCATCAGGGGATAAACAGAAAATTAAATTTGTGTGTTTATTAAACTTGGGGCAGAATCAGGTATTAATAAAAGTATTAGAATTTGAAGATGTTTTCACATGAAACACATTATAAACTCATCTCTTCTGTTTCTTTTATTTTGCTTTGCTTTTACTGCTTTTAGGATTAATGGAAACCTATTGATATGAAAAGAGGCCAATTCAAAAAATTATAACCAGGGTCACAGTTACCTTATGTCATCAGAGTAGTATAAATGAGACAAGTGCAAATATAGTGACCTTAATAGTTTCATATTTCGTCTCTTTTTTTGGTCATAAATAGGAGAGATGGGATATTTACTTTCTAAATTTTAATTAATACACTTTCAATCTTGGGTATCCAAATGTCATTTAGTTATGATAAATGTGCAAAAATATTCTCATGCATCCTCCTTGTGTTTCTTTCTCCAGGTGTACATCATAGCACACGTTCCAGTGGGATATTTGCCTTCATCAAGGAGCATCACAGCAATGAGAGAATACTATAATGAGAGATTGATAACTATTTTTAGAAAATACAACGATGTTATTGCAGGACAATTTTATGGGCATACTCACAGAGATAGCATTATGGTTCTTTCGGACACAAAAGGTAATGTGATGTTCTGTTTGCATCTCCCCAGTCCAAGAGGCTAGAGCAAAGCAGTGAATATCCAGTACATTTACTGATTCAGTACATTAAAATTTTTGTTGAAAAAACCTGCTAGCACTAGCCTTTTCTGAGTTACCTTTGATAATTGTATGA